ATTATTATTATTATTATTATTATTATTATTATTATTATTATTATTATCATTTGTATGGAGCACGGTGGGTTAGGATGCTGGGTTGGAGGTTAGCAAGTCTGTGTTTGAGACCTGAGTGCTGCTGCATGGTGAGGTAAATTCCCCTCATTTGCTCCAGCTCCTTGATGGGGACCTAAAAGGAGCCTACATGGGCATCCCCCAGGCAACAGTGATATTACAAGTCAATCCTTCAACCCAGAAGTGCCTTAAACGGTGCCTACAACACTAATGGAAGAGGGGGTCACTTGTATGCCATCTATTTTGCAAGCTCACATTAACACAGCTTCACTAACATCTCTTGACAATAAAATATTCATAAATGTGGTCACTTAACATCTAAAACCATAAAACTGTCACCTCCAGGAAAAGTATCAGTCAGTTAAACCTATCCTCCAATGTTCAATAAAAGATGATGGTTTCTTTACCTGCTTCTAGAGCCGCAAGAAGAAGGATGGTGTCCTCATTTTTAAAAACACAGAAAATAATGGGATTCTATAACAGAATTCCAAAGAATTAAAATTCTAAGGATGAGAAAAAAAAAATCTATGTACTGATGATTTTACGGCATTATCGGATGGGAAGATTCTATTTTAGGAGATTGTCCGAAAAAACTAAGGTCTTTAAGCTTTATAAACCAGTACTTTGATTTGCATCCAAAAACCTGCTACCAGCTCCTGCAAGATGATTGTGATTCTGTTGAATTAGGACAGATCTGTCAACAACTGGGCATTTGTGTTTTTAGGTGAGCTATGATTTCTGGATAGTCTTTGAAGGTTGTCGTAAATAAAGCACAGTCAAACCACCCAAAAACCATGCATCTGTGACTTTGCCAAGACTCCGGTTGCAAAAATGGCAACATCTAGCATACCAGCTGAAGGCTCTCTCTCTCTCTCTCTCTGTTATCTACAATTGCTTTTCCAATAAAAGCTGTAAGTCCAATAGGAGGGAAAAAACCTTCTAGGAGAATGCAACCTTGCTAAGAACTAACAAAAATGGAATTTTGTTGTATCTAAGCACTCTCCAGACAGCAGTTATTCTACCTGGAGAAGATTTAACCTGAATCTGACAGACCTTCCTCCAATCCTTCACATTTGGATCATGATACTATAATCCAATCGTACTAGATTTATTTTTATTTATTTTTATTTATTTATTTGATTTGCCAATTGTTTACAAGATAATAAGTATAAATGTATACATAGTTGTGAATACATGAAATGGTTACATATAAGAAAAATAAAAGAATAAGAGAAACAATAGGACAGGGACGGTAGGCACGTTGGTGCGCTTATGCACGCCCCCTACAGACCTCTTAGGAAAGGGGTTAGGTCAATAGTAGACAGTCTAAGGTTAAAGTTTTTGGGGTTTGGGGAAGAAACTACAGAGTCGGGTAGAGTATTCCAGACATTGACCACTCTATTGCTGAAGTCGTATTTCCTGCAATCAAGTTTGGTGCGGTTTACTTTGAGTTTGTATCTATTGTGTGCTCTTGTGTTGTTATGGTTGAAGCTGAAGTATTCATTGACAGGTAGGACATTGCATAGATGCTCTCCAGTCCTGTTAAATGTGCTGCAGTCTTGCTAGAAGTGTTCCACTCCTGCTAGAGACTGCCATCCTTCCCTTGCAGCTTATCTACAAAACAACTAATTGACTCTCAATCCTAGATTTAAGCCTGAAACTCAACTGCAAGGATTCCAACTAATCTGCATCTTCCAAGTTCTTCTATAAATGAACCCCAACCACTTTCTCAACAACCCTCTTGCAGATTAGAAGGTTAGAGACCAGGTGGAAGTTTGTAGAACCTCCAAATGGAGGATTTCTTCAGAGGAAGCACATATCCTTCAAGACTGTCAGTGCAACTTCCTCCCCTAAAGAAGCATTCCCCATTCCTTGAATCCAAATATCTGTTCCCTCCTGGGCAATTCAAATAAGTCAGAGAAGTCAACATCAACTTCTGCTGCTTGTCACAAACTATCCTGTCCGCCTCTTCAGACTCCACAAACTCAAAGAATGCTGTATGATATCACAGGACACTGTTACAGTGATCTCTGTGGTAGAGATGTGAGATATAATAATAGAGATTTCTAATGTGATCCAACTTCTTGCCAATTTATTACTGAACTTGGATATTGTTAAAGGAGCAATTGGTATTTGCATTTAATTAAAGCAGCGTTCTCCAAAATGGTTAATATTGATCACTATGACTCAACGAGACTCTCCATGGTCAATATTGTTGTTATTGCTATTCACAGCAGTATTAGTTAAAGTAGTATTTATAAAATTGCTTTCATGTAAGAGATATTTGAATAATCTGAAACTTCATTAAGGAATCAATGAGCTGAAAAGTTTGGGGAGTCTGCTTTAAATGGATACCTTAACATAAGATATCCATTGAATGAGTTGTAATTATTGAATATATTACTGCAACTTCCTTGATTGTTCATTTATTGAAGAATCCTGGCAAGTTACTGTAAAAAGAAGTTGATGGAGCAGGTGATACTTTTCTCTAAACTAGATTGTAAATAGGTTCTAGGAAAGATAATTTTCTTCAAAGCTTACTTTAATGTTAATATTATTTCTTCCTATTGCTTGTGGCCTGGAACAAGAAAGGAACATGTATGTAACATTCTGCTTCCTTCGTTTTTTTGCTAGCCACTGCTGTCCAACAAGTCTAGTAAGATTGAAAGGAAAAATTCAAACAATATATGAAATCCAACCCACAAAAGAATTTAGAAGTTAAAGGGCATTCCATGAGCCTCCCTGAAATATTTTGAACCTAAGTGCTACAAATCTGATGGCATGACTTCTTAGTGCATAGTTCTCTGCATACAAAAGAACTATAAAGGAGCACAAAATAGAACAAAAAAAAAAAGATGGGGCATGTTGGCATTAAGTTGTCAATTTAAGTCTTCTTAAATTTTTGCATCAAGATGTTTTATTTCATTAAGGAAAAGATCAAGTATAATAATTGTTTATTATAGTCTACATGCTTAGTTGGGGATATTTTCACTATTTCCTTAGAAAATTATAAAAGGGAAAATAGAAAAAGAGAAAAAGAGAAAAACAATTCTATTTGGGAACAAAAAAAGGTATTATCAAAATTGTTACTGAAGTATGTATCAATGGTACATTAAAAATGCTCTTCCTGCATCCTATTGAAATAAATAAAATCTACATAAACAAATATTGTTTTGGCACCAACAACTTTTAATGAAACCACATGTGGCATCTTATGACATCATGACTGTGTTTGTATCACAAACTTTGGTTCCTGAATTAATCCATTTTGGGTATGCAAATGGTTTAAACCATAAACTGACTAAATTAGATGGATAAAAAAAAACTCAACAAGGTTATCCCCAGCCAAGCTTGACAAATTGTACAATAGTCAGCAGATTCTTAAACACATTATATGAACATAGCTCATTTATACCTTTCTCCAATCTGAAGTTTTTAAAAATTGAATTGCCAGAATTCGTACTCCTAATTCAATTTTAAGGGCACCTGGTTGGCAAAGCTACCATAAGGCAATATCTTGGCAATCAGCAATTAGTTTTTTATTGCCACCCACTCACCAATCTATCTTTACACTCCTTTTGGAGTTTTGAAGAAATTGGTTTTACTTACCCAATAACTTGATGCTCATAATGTTGGAGTGTCCTCTGGAGAGTCTGCCTTATGGTCTGTGGCTATAGAATAAACAAAGAAATAATAATAAAAATGTTATCGGCAGTTTGTCAGTCAGCCTAGCTCTCAGCATGGCTCCCGAACAGAGGTGACTACTGATATTATTCCTTAATCTAATGTATATTTTTCCAATTACATATTCTTTTCCTCCCCTTGCACATCTGCTGTGCCTCCTCCAGAGAAATGTGAAGAAAGCTGCCCAGAAGTAGCAAGCTGTTTTTGTTCAACAAACACATCAATATTTCAAGACTCTTCCTGATATTTTAGTCCTCTGTTAAATCACCAGTAGTTTCTTTAGCATCCGTGTAACCCAATACAAAAAGCTGCAAAAGGAAAACATGATGTGTACAGAATCGCATGCTAGTCACTTGGGGCCGAGCTTATACATCTCACCCCACATTTGCTTCCAACTAATCTCTGAGGGCTGAAAGTTTCTTCAGCATTATTTGTGGTGACATTATACTAGTTTTTCTATTATTTTTACAATGGTGGAAGATTGCCCTGTTCTTACTATCAAAAACAGTAATTTCCCACATTTCAGCTCACAAGTAGGCAAGTTGGTAGTGACAGTGAGACTCAACTCAAAGATTTCCTGCCAGTCTCCATTTGAATTGTTTTGCCATTTGAATTGTTTTTCAAAGATTATTTTGTTTAAAGCATAAGGGAAACAAGATCTGGTGTGCTGAAAAATGTATCTATCTCTAAAAGACTGTAGAGATTCTCAGTCATCCAGATCATGGTTGTCCCTGTGCTGTCCCAGCCAGTCTATGGGAATTGGATAGTTACTTAGGAATTATGAGCTGTCCCCTTAAGGGAATGCATCATGGTAAATGTAGTTAAAAGTATCCTGGGAAATGTAGTTCATGTCACATGGCCACATCTGTAATCCTGATTGGTCACTAAATTGATCCTCGAAGTGTTGGGAGAGGTTTTCCTTACTTTTGCCTGAACTCTCTAACTCATGGCAGCTTCTTTCTATCGCTACGAGATGGGTTAGGAGATAAGCATCTTTTACTACAAGGCAGATATACAAAGGATTGGTCATTAAAGAACTTCATCACAAACATGAGTTATGAGGATACCTGATGAACCAATAAATGTAATTTGTTATGGACATCTTGTTGAGTTATCTATCTGCATCTCTACAGCTTCAAATCCACCTCTGTGCATAAGGCAGAAAAGTAAAAGATGAAGTCCTGAAACTCATCAATATAAAGGATGTTAATTTGGGTTTGTGATAAAGCAAAGTAATATTGAAGCCAGGAGTGAATATGCAATGTTAATTTAAACCTGCATTTCCCATCATCTCTCTCTGTGAGCATGGGAATTCTTTACATGCCTGTGGAGGGGCTGGAATTCCCCACATGCTAGTAACAAAGAGAATTTTCTAACCGCAGAATTGAAAACCAGTAACCCACCCACCCCCCTCTTCTTTGCTCAATTTGTCTTCCTGCTATCTCAAAGACTCCATTTGCATAACAAGGAGAGTCAGATATCTCCCAGCTGTCAAAGGAAAACCAAACCTCTGTCTTTAAACCTTCTACAAATGCAGTGAGACTCTGAGAAATCATGCCTGTATGTTTGCCGGTAAAACAAAGCTGATCTTCCTCTGCTCCTCTGGCAAAGCAATAAAGAGGCCACAGTTATAAAAATTCCTTCAGCCAGAGCCGTCTCCACAGCAATGGGCACATGCCTTTCCCCTGAAGAGAGACACCTAATCTAGCAATGATTTAAACAAAGTCAGCATTTGTCTTTTGCTATCCTTTTGCTATTAAAGGAATTTTCCTTTAACAAAATTAGTAGCAATCTAAAGCAACCACGGTGCAGCATCGTATTCACCTTTCCTTCCAGCATTTTCAATTGCCATTCATCTGCTAGACTCTACCAAAAAAAAAAAAAAATCTTATATAATTTTTTTTACCAAGTCTCTCAAAATTGACCAGAGTGTTTATCCATTGATGACCCCTTTTTGCAACTCTTGTGGACAATTTAATCAATTTAATTCAAATGTTCCAAGATTAACTGCAACCTAACAGACTCAAGTAAAGCAGCCTACTTCTCCATCTGGTGGTCAAGAAGAAATTTACAGTGAAGTTAAAGAATTACCATTATTTTTTCCTTTTTTCAAAAGTGGGCAAGGAAGTCCCCCCCTCTTTTTCTCTTCAGCCCACTGCTACATCTGGGGCTCAAAGAAAAATCTCCCTGAGTTTTCCAATACGTGTTTGCATTGATAATCTCTTTTTTGAAACCATTGTGGACAATTTAATCAATTTAATTCAAATGTCCCAAGAGTAACTGCAACCTAACATGGGCGTAGCAACAGCGTCTTCCTGACCCTCTGCTGCCACCTTGTGAAGCAAGTGACAATTATTTCTGCATTCCGCCCTCAAGTCTTCAGACTACACTACGCATATTTCTGCGTTCAGCCCTCTAGTCTTCAGACTTCATAACGCAACCTCTAGTGGCCCCTTGTGTTGCAAGCTCACAACACACCCTAGAAGCAGTCATATTATGTGCTGTGCTAGCATCGCCCAGACTCTGCAGTGCCACCTACGTGCTCAAGTATTAAATCCAGCAGCAATTCAACTTTCTGCTACCTGCCTGCAGCGCCCCCTAGTACAAAAAAAGGGAATTGCATGGAAAACCACTAAAATTTTCCAAATTTCTCCCTTTGCCAATTTGAAGCATGGCAACTTCCTCAGCCATGACAGATGTCTCTGATGTACCAGAAGACCTGATTCCTCTACCCACCCTTGTTGTAAACATGGAGCCTGATTTCTGAAACCCAGTTTTAAATGTCCAACTCTCTGGAGAAGCCGCGATAACTCAGAAGGCCTACGACCTCAGACAGCATAGGAAGTTTACCTCACCCGCAGTGACACGCTTCAGAGAGGATTGGGAAAGGCAGTATCACCATCATGCAGCCACATAGATGGAGTTGGTCAAGATCTGTGACACCCCCAAAAGCAAGTTGCCCCTCAAGAGCCTCTTCCTAATGCAGAAGGAGCTAAAGGAGCACCTCGCACAGTAGAGAGACAGTGAAAATAAGCTTAAATACATACAGTCGAACCTGGAAGACCCAGAGTTCCAGGAACACATTCATTCCTTTGAGGAAGTGAATAAAGAACGCTAAGACAGCGTTTGGGAAGGCAGAAACTCCTTCCAGGCCGTGCTCCTCATTGCGCTACAGAAGGAGCAAATACCGAGGGAGAAGTCCACATCCGACATAGGTCTTCAATCACAAGCAGCTTCTTCCCACCATTCTAAGAAAGCCTCCTGAGAATGGCACAACAGGATCCCAACTTACCAGCACTCGCCTGTCTCGATCACGTCGACACGCAGAACAAAATTGTTCGAAAACTTCCACAGGTGCTAATTGAAAAGTGGCTCCAGTTGACTGACACCTTCATGGCCAAGGGTCGCCACCGCTTTATACCCTTCACACTTCTTGAAGAATTTGTGTCCCACCAGGTGACAGTGTGCAACACACACCGGGCCCATGGACTCAAAGCTGTCAGTCCTCCTAATGACAGAAGATACAACAGCAACTATATATCGCCCTCAGGCCCTATGCACACTACCAGGGAAAGACCTTTCATGGTTGTCCATAACACCTAGATCGACTCCTCATCCACACACAGTTGGGGAGAGAACTCATCAGATACAACCCAATTTAGATCTCCGAACACAAGGAGAATATAGTTTTGTCCTATGCACAACACTCGTCACTTGCTGAATCGCTGCACTGGGTTTGCAGCGAAATCACTGACCCAACAAAAAGAGTTGCTAAAGGAGTACCAATACTGCTATAGGTGTTGCGAATCCAAACACCCATCCAAGTACTGCACAGCCAAGATGCAATGCAACTTATGCCATAGTGTCCAGCGCCCGACTGCGCTGCATCCACACTCCGGCTCGCCACCGCAGATATCTCGTAACCCTCCTTTGGACAAGGAGCCTCAACGTAACACAGAAGCATGCAGGGCTCCTCGGCAGACTGACAAACCGCAACCAAAACCAAGGATGAGTGTCAACTGCACAGCACTGTGCGCCGATTCACCATGCCCTCATTCGTGTCTTCCCATCTGTTTATCTGTACCCTGAAGGATGTCCTGAAGATGCCGTGAAAATGTATGTGCGGATAGACACTCAAAGCACCTGCACCCTGGCCAGACCTGCATTCTTCGACCTCTTTGAGGTGCAACAGAATGAACTTCACTTCACTGTATCAATGTGCCATGGACCAAGAAGCACGGCGGGGAGGAGAGTTACTGGACTCTGCATAGAGTCATGGGATGGAAGTTCCCAGTTCCCACTACTGCCCGTATTTGAATGCAATGGGATGCCGAACTACTGCAGTCAGATCGCAACACCTGAGGTCATAAGTACCATGCTTCACCTACAGCACATGGCTCATCATTTTCCCGCTCTAGATCCTACTCTTGCTGGGAAATAATGCCCCACGCACCTTTCTCTTCTCCGAGTCAGTCGGCGGCCCTGTAGATGGCCCAGTGGCCATCAAATCTCCACTAGGATGGAGGATTGTAGGAATTGTCAGTGACGATTGGATGCAGGCTCCAACCCAGGCAAATGCCTTAGCACCACCCATTCCAACAGCCTTCAGAAGTCCTTTAGCACCATCGAAAACAAGAATGACGTTCCAGCCCAAAAGGCCACCAGTGATCAGTACACTTTCACTAGGACACCCTAAACGGCCGCCAACAACCACTAGACATCCACTAAGACGCTCTACATGGGCATATGCCTATGCAACACTATTTCCAACAGCTTGCCGACACCCTTTGACACCGTGGAAGCAAGAGTACCATTCCAATCCTAAAAGGCCACCGGAAGCGACCAGCAGACTTTCACCTTTGCCGCCAAGAGTACCTGTACACCGTAAAAGGCCACCAGAGGTGACCAGCAGACTTTCAACTTTGCCATCAAGAGTACCTGTACACCTTAAAAGGCCACCAGAGGTGACCAGCAGACTTTTACCTTT